GTATGGTATTCCTATCATTATTAGTTCATTCCATTGGCGTAATAGTTTTTTACTGTACAAAATGTATTTTCTATGCCCTTACTCTAACCCATACTCATAACCTACCCCTCAAATAAAACTACAGGTATACATTTTCAAAAAAAAAAAAATTCTGTATAGTGTATAAACTCTTTTTCTCATGGGAACCAAAAAATGTCCCTACGACGTCAAACTTTATTATCACTATCCTTGCGGGAACATTTGGTCCCCATAATGTAGGCTACATTTACTCTCTCTCTCTCTCTCTCTCTCTCGCTCTCTCTCTCTCTCACACACACACACACACACGCACACACACGCACGCACACGCACACAGCTCAAACAGTGTTTCAAGGATTCATTAAATGAGTGATTTAGGCATATTTCAGCTGTCAGATAACTAGACAGCATTAAAAGTTTAGGTTTAGGAGGACATTTTAAAAACGTTTAAAAGCCGGTTTACAACGCTGTATAAAACAGTTTAACAAGTTATATTGTTAAAAAATCATTGCAATAATTTGCAGGTCATCTCGGAGCCACAGCGCCTCCTTCCGGAGAGACACAGCGTCACGTGACTCACAAGTGAAAGTGAAAGTGAAAGTAAATGGTGTGACATTTTGCTCAGGCTCTCTTCTAACAGGAGACATTTCACCTCGATGTTTCTGTGATAATCCATGTTTGTGATCAGCTTTTAATTAGAACTACAGTCTAAATTTAACGATCACTTGAAAATTGGAGTCAGACTAAACACAGAGCTAGACTAAAATTGAAACTAAATCCTGATAAATTAAGTGAACTTTGCAGAAGCACAAGTCACTATTAGGCTACCGTCGTTGTGCCGATGGGTGCACTTTACAATAATGAACAGAAATAAACTGATTTGAAGCAATATTAGGGCCAACAAACTTGTTCAAGGACAAGGATGATAATGCATTACCCTAAATAAATAACACTGGACAAGTATAGGATAAAAATATGCTGTCAAATACAATAGCTGCCAACTTATGTTAAACTTAGAGACGATTCTCTCTGTCCTTTCAAATAGAAAATCCCATTATATACTAATAAAAGAAGATGTGCGACGCAAGAAGTATGATAAATCTGGATGTTCAATAATGGAGTGATGCGGTCCTCTGCTGGTGGAGGAGTGTAACTACAGAGTTCAAAGTTTGCATTATGTAGTTGCATAGGATTTCGGCCCACCTCGCCTTGTATGCTGAAAGAAAACTGTGTGCCATCTCTGTACATGGATTACTGTAGCTATATGGAAATAGCAGGACGTTTCACAGCAGAGACAGACAAATTCAACATAGTCACACATGTAACTTGAAATTGCTATACGATTCCAGTGTTAGTTATTAAACACAATTATTTTACACAAGACACATGGTCTAGCAGGCTATTTCATGCTGTAACTGCAGGGCAAATAGAATATGTCCCCTATGAACTGCATAAGTGAATATTATGTAGACCTATTGTTTAAATCAAATTTATCAAATTTATCAAATTCATCTGTTTGATCGCTTCAAACGGCATCTTTGACGACAGTATAATATATAAAATGATTTGCATTCTGATTCTGACATCCAAAAGCACAACAATACATTGTTTTCCCTCTTATTGCATGGATTTTACCCGTGTCCCTCCACTTGTTACCAGTGTTTTTCTGCCACAACGATGCACGCGCAGCTGCATGTGATGTAACTGTCTACTCTGAATTGGTCTATGAGCTACATGAAAATTATTTGATAATGCCATACAGTTAAAATGTTTCACAATAGCACAACATTTAAAGAGATACTGCAGCAGTCTGTAGGTCAAATACCTCTTAAGGCAGGTTTTAAACAGAGGTAGAGGATTTAAGATATTGGTAAACCATTCCACAAAAACTCCCTTACACTTTATCCTAATGAACTGGTAACAAATGTAAAGAGGCCAGAGTAGGGGATATATGATCCCATCACAACTATTTAACTACATAAATGGTGTACAAACATATCACCAATGTTGTTTCATAATGGTCTCTTCTTCTATCTTCCCTCTGCAAAGCACAATGTCTCCCTCTTCTGCCTGACAACAGCTACTCCACTGTATTTGTGATAGAAAGGAGATTCTCTACTCTTACTATTACTTTACCTTCAGGAAATGTTCTTTTACTTCCACACCTACTGTAATTTAGATGGACTACAATAGCATGTTACAGGTTACATTAATTGAAGTTATTATTATTATTTTATATTGTAGCTTTGAGTGTTTAATGGGAGCATTGCAGATTTGTAGGAAATGTATCTTTATTAGAGAAAGTGTGAATAATAGTGAGTGTGGTAAACTTGTTTAGGAACAGCCATGAAATGAAATAAATGGGCTTTTTAATATGGTTTTCACAATTCCTGTACGACAGCTTGTCCAAATCATGATTGTCTTGAGCAGGAGTCTGTGGGTGTTATGTAATAATCTTTCATTCTCAGGTGTTGGGCAGGGGAAGGAAAGTCACATCTCGCCAGACACATGGAGCAAAGCAGCTTTATATCACTCCTCTCCAAATAGGCATGTGTGGATATTTATGCAATCACAGTGACACTCAGAGAAAATGTCCATTATAGCAAATGCATTTTACCATGCTGTTCAAATACGCCACAGGCAGTCATCTGACAGATCACACTGCAGCGGAATGTAATGTACGCCAAATATCAAGTCCAACCAGTTTCTGAGTTGTAATGACTACACAACTTTTGATTTAACACACACACACACACACACACACGATACACAGTTTGTTTCTTACTGTGTGAAGTACTTCACCACGAAGATGGCTGGCTGGAGTGGATCAACCGTGGATCAATCAGATGGTGAGTCTGTTCATTTCTGTTGTTACTGTAATAAGAAATGTCTGTACATTTAAGCAACATTCTTTTAAATGAGTTTTTTTTAGCAGATGAAGATCAAGGAAGTTTAGGATTATTTAACAGAAGAGGAAGCAAACGTCAACCTATGAACAGTGAGTTTTACTTTTACATAAAAGAATGTGTAGTACAACAAAATCTTCATAAACTGGCGCTTTTAGCATTGAAGAAAAAAAGAAAAAGGTTTTCACATCCAGGGAATTTCACAACTACCTTGCAATATAACAACTGCCAGATTTTGAATAAAACATTACATACGTACAAGAGAAACTTGTAGATTTTTACTGTCCATTATGCTGGTGTTTTGGTTGTATAATGCATATACAGTAGTTTCTCTTTCTGTTAATATAAGTCTAACAGCAATAGTCATGTTACCAGCTTCCACCATTATTCTGTTTGTGTCTCAGAGCACTGTATTAATTCATATTAATTAGGTCAGATTGTGAACGCATCAATTCCAAATACTGAATTAAGGGAATGAATTAAAAGAACAGTGAGTAGAAACAAACCTGTTTATGTAATTTCAGTGTCTGTGATTAAAGAAGAGATGAGAATAGTTCTGCTGGGGTCACATGCAGATGTTAAAGCATCCTGTGGAAACACAATATTTGGACGAAAGGTCTTTTCAGAGTCGCCGTCCTCCCAGCATTTGTTTGAGAGGCATGATGGGATGGTGTTGGAGAGGCGTTTGGTGGTCACCAACGCTCCTGACCTGTTCAGTCCTGCTCTCTCTCCTGAAGAACAAGACGTGAGGGGACACTTCCATCTGTCTCGTCCTGAACCTCATGCCCTGTTACTAGTGCTGAAGTCTGGCACATTTACAGAGCAGGACAGAGATGCTCTCAAGCTCATTAATGTCACTTTTGGTGAAGGAGCATCTGAGTATGTGATTGTGGTCTTCATGCATGAGGAGCAGGAGTATGTGAGCACTAAAGACTCTGACACTGAATCAGTAAAGTCTCTGCTGAAGACCAGCAGACGTCCACACCATCATCTACAGAGGAATGGAGACCAATCTCAAGTGCAGAAACTTCTGGGGAGCATCGAGAAGATGGTGGAGGAAAATGGAGGCCATCAGCTGAAGATTACTGAAGAGCCAAGACCGTTCCAGATGAAAGAAGACACAGTTTGCCAAACAACAAACAAGATACATAAGGGTAAACCATTACCTCCAGTTTCATAACAACAAACGTTCAGAAACTGATAAATGACTGTGGAGGAAGATTTCATGTGTTCAATAATAAACACAAGGATCCTGCTCAGGTCGTGAGTCTGTTAAAGAAGATTGATAAGATGATGTGGGATAATGACCCCGATTTCTATAATGACAAAATGTTTCAGGAGGCCGAGAGAGCATTCAGACTCATGCAGATCAATAGAGAGAGAGAAGAGGAGGTCAGACGAGAAATCAAGGCCATTAAAGCTAAATATGAGTCTGAAATCAAAGAAATTCAAGACCAACTAGAAGAGGAAAAAACAAAAGGAAAAGTTAGAGAATTTCTGTTTGTGGAGAGAGAGTTCACACTGTTGAGACAAGAGAGAGAAAACACAGCGACAACAAACACTGAACAAACCCATGTCGAGAGAAAGAATGATGATCAGATTGAAAAGCAGGAAAATCAGCTTACAGGAACAACAGATCTGGATAGAGAGATACCTAAACCTGGAAGAGAATCTGACCAAGATCCTAAGAAACATGTTAAAAAATGGAGGGGGTTGGAATCCTTAAAAAAAGGCATAAAGCTAAGGAAAAAGATTGAGAGGACAGAAGAATGTAAAACAAAAGATGCAGCAAGTGGAGAAGAGAATGTAGAAAAGATAACAGATAGAGTCACAGACCAACAGAGCAGTGAGGATTTACCTAAAACCTCTGACGATGAGAGAAACGCAGAGAAAGAACAACTAAATCAGCATTATAAAGAAATGGAAGAATGCAGGCAGAAGATGGACGAGGCCATGAGGAGATACAAAGAGACGGCTGATATGTATGCTGCAGAACGCATGAGAATTGAAGCCAGAAATGTTCAGATCATTGACAGCTGGGAGAAGGACCATGGGAAATCCTGTGCCCTTCAATAACAGACGAAAAAATATTTGATAAATGCATGTTTTTGCTTCATAAGGTGCTGTCAAGTTAAAAAGTTTTTGAATTATTGAATTCCCTTGTTGGGTTTCATTTTGTTGCACTCCTATGTGAATGTTACCTGAAACACTGGACTTAAATACATGCCAGTGCTGAATGACAAGAATTACCGTGCATCACAGGACTACCAATTGGTTAATTCTGTTGCACTGCCTGTATTTAACAGTTTGGGCATTGCAATACTATAGCATGACTGGTCCACGCTACACCTCTCTTTATCTCCCCACACTGACTATTGGTTGCAGCTCACATCAAGTGCAAGACATTAAAGGGTTAGCTCACCCATGAAAATTAGCTTGTGTTTTACTCACCCTCGAAGCATCCATGTGTATATGGGGGGGGGGGGGGGATGTCTTCTGTAGTGAATCCATGTGTTTTTGTAAGAAACATATCTATATTTCAAACATAATAAATACTTTTCTCTCACTTCCATTATCTTTCATAGGCAGAAGGCGTTCCGGTGGAAGGCGTATGACGTATGCGCAGCGCGCGTGCCTCTGAAATATGCCAGTTTCGCGGGTTTGTTTATAGGAGCAAAGGAAGCAAAGTTTCCTTACTTTAGTTACTTTAGTATATACCTCTTGGTTTATATCTAAATCTTCTGACATTTTTCTTTGTAAATCCTCGGTTTGTACTTCCAATTCATGACCGGCATTCGTCACTAATCACGCAAAGCCGACGTGCTACGTCATCCGCCGGCACGGCTTCCGCGTACCACAGTTAGATGAAGTGAGAGAGAAGTGTTTATAATGTTTTAAATATGGATATTTTTCTTACAAAAACACATGGATTCGCTACGGGGGCCTTTATTCATCCCCCGGTAACAGCACAGTAACAAGATCGGCAGTTTAAGACATTAACTTGTAAGCACAAAACACAAGATACTTCTCTTTTCAATATGAATAAGGCTTTATTGGATAAATCTAAGACATATGAACTAGTCTAACACATGAACACACGCATTCACACAAGTTTGCAGAAAGAGAAAGTGAGGAAATAATTAGTTTAAGAGAATGAAAATGTGAAATCCCAAGTTTACAGCAATATGTGTAATTGCATAGACCTGAACAACCATCAATCACTTAATTAACCCTCGCATTGAGTTCCTCAATGAGGTTAAAATTTATATTAAATGCACCAGTTCAGCTAGGATCTGGAGGTACTTGCGTTGCCTGTACGGGGTTCCCTTTGTTGTTGTCCTTGAAGAACAGGGGGTTTCCCGCAGTCGCTGATTGGCTGGAAGTTCAATCTTGGGAAGCCAGTGGTTGGGCATTGGCTGACGACGCGGAGTTGTGGTTTGAAGTTGAAGTTTTAGATGGCACTCTTTCGGAGACACGGTGTTAGGCAAAACTTAACTCGTAACACGAAACTCTCAACGGAAAATAAAATAAACTAAAGTAAAGAAATAGAAGTAAAGTTTGACGAGACTAGGTGGCGTTTCTCCTCATGGTTTTGGAGGAGCTGGCATGTAAGCCAGAGCACGCTCAAAGAGCGCAAAAGGTGATGACTGAAAAGCACGGCTAGAAAAGGTAAGAAGGAAGAGAGATATTTGATGGTGTCCTGAGTATTTAAACTGGGCTTTTGGACACATCCCAAATGGTGTTTTGTATATTTCTCCTCCCAATTCATAAATCAAAATGTTATCGCATCAGGCACATGGTCCGAGTTTTAACACTCTTGCAGAGTATACTTTTGGACATTTCTATAACAAGAATATGGTACATTTGACGAAGAATTGATTGGAAGAAACCGGTCATCTCTTTTGACCATTATTCTTGATAACTTGCCCCAAAATTTTACAATCTCCTTGGACTTGTCAATGTGTTCTTTTGTGTTAATGTTGAAAACTGTTCTGTGACAGGGGCTTAGGTTTAGGCTTGCTTCAGAGAGGCTAGGGTCTGATTTATGACATCCTGTTGTCTTGGGCCTCTGTGGAATTTTTGTGACTCCTCGTGCCTCAACTCGGTTTTGACCAAATCTTAGATTGTCTGATTCGGTCTGATATCCTACAGTGTAATGTACAAAAATGCTTAGCATGGCTTTATGTAGTGATATTAAAAGAGCAACTTAAGTATACCTGTATAAGCACATGTGCCCAGAATATGAGCAGGGTACGCGTTTTCAACAGCAAAACATTTCCAATTACAATAAGGCTTCATTTGTTAACATGAATTAACAATGAAAAGTATTTTATGTTGCAACAGCATGGCAGATCCAATGAGCAATATTTTCTTAGAGCTTTCATTAATCGTAGTTAATGTTAATTTAAACATATTACTAATACTAAAAAAGCAAGTTATTAATGTTAGGTAATGCATTAAATTATGTTAACAAATGAGAACTTATTGTAAAGTGTTGCCGCCTAATTGCAGAGATTTACTTTGTACAGTTATGATTTAGGCTTTTGTGTTAATTTTACTTAGTTGAGTCTAGTTTGACATCAGTTAAGTGATTTTTCTGGCAGCAGTACAACCAATTCTGGTCCAGCTTTTCTAGAACATGAAATGACCCACATGCCAACCAACTAATGTGAATGCTAATGACGATGATTGTATCATTTCATTGTGTCAAGACCTGAGATGGTCTCTAATCCAGGTAAAATTTCACATTCTACGTATAATACAAGCTAGTAATTTTTTCACTTCGATCTATCATAGTGAAATAAATAATATTATTATTGTAGTTTTACTTTCACACTTTCATTTATTTTTCAAACAGGAAACAACTTTTACTATATTTCATGCTGACTGACATAAATACTGTACATATGGCACATGAGACACATTGCAGCATATTTGCGCCCCCTAGTGTGAAAACTACTGTAACCTGTTTTGAATAATTCATCACAAAACACTAATGGACATCAACTTTACATCCGATTGTGTGACATCAGTGGTTTAACTGTAAAGTTACGAAGCTACAAGAATACTTTTTTTGCGCAAAGAAAACAAAAATAACGACTTTATTCCACATTTTCGTCTCTACTGCGTCACTTGTGGACGCGCGTTCACGACAATATCATGACGCAAGCATGTGACGGCGCCGGCGCTGACCCAGATCCTGCGTAATGACGTCATCACGCCAGAACTGGGTCAGTGCTGGCGCCACCACACGCTTGCGTCATGATACTGTCGTGAACACACAAAAATGTGGAATAAAGTCATTATTTTTATTTTCTTTGCGCAAAAAAAAAAGTATTCTCGTAGCTTTGTAACTTTACAGTTGAACCACTGATGTCACATGGATTACTTTGTCGATCATCTTGGTACTTTTCTGGACCTTAAACGTGGTAGTTACCTTGCTGTCTATGGGAGGGTCAGAGAGCCCTCAGATTTAATCAAAAATATCTTAAATTGTTCTCCGAAGATGAACGAAGGTCGCATTTTTGGGTGAACTAACCCTTTAACCGGGAAAATGAGAGGCAGGGTCTATGTTTCTACATAAATGAACATTGGTGTTCAGATGTAACAATGCTGAAAAAGATATGCTGTCCTAATTTAGAGGCACTCTTCATAAACTGTAAACCCCTGATAGCACACGCACATCACGGAGACGCTTTTTTGTCGTCTGCATTTACATCTGCAAGACATTTTCAGAGATTAAAGTTCTCCGGCACCGTGCCGGATATCCGGGTGTGCAGCGTTTGGCTGCGGAAAAAAAAAAATCCTACATTTAAAAAAAACTTGCTGATATTACATTCGAGTCCATGAGTTAGCCTACCAGAGCAGCACAGCTTTCACTCTCAACCAAACTAACATTACTAGCCAATCAGAATTTTTTGCTCTTATAAACACGAGACGCGCATATCCAATTGCGAGGCGCAATGGACAAAGATGTCCATCTAGCGCATATTTACATAGAAAAACTAATTAAAGGGGTCCTATTATGCTTTTTAACTTTTTCAACTTTAGTTAGTCTGTAATGTTGCTGTTTGAGCATAAAAAAGATCTGCAAAGTTACAAAGCTCAAAGTTTATTTCAAAAGGAGATATTTTATTTTACAGAAATCACTTTTCAAAAACTACAACGAACGACTCGTTTGGACTACAACGCATATATTCTGGGATTTGTGATATCACAAATATCGACGAATGGGACGAGACCTGGTTGAGCTGCACTAGAGAAGGCAACGAGTGTTATCACTATGTCGGAGACACGCTAGCTTTCCCAAGGCAGACAAACTTAGAGTGGTTACAACACACACTGGCCCAGCTAACCAATCACAGCACATTTCGTATTTCAGAAGGCGGGCCTTCATTTGATACAGGAACTATTCGAGCCGTTCATGCCAGACTGGGGAGAGAGGTGTTGTAATAATGCAAAATAAAAAATAAAAAATAAAAAATAATGTATTTTTCGAACAACCTAGTATGAGAGCCTGTTCTAATACACCCCCAAAACAAAATCAAGACTTTGTAAAAGAGCATAATAGGACCCTTTTAAAAAGCAGTGGAGCTTTGTAAACAGCTCAGTGTAATCATGTAATCTCCATAAGAACCATAAGATTGCCAGAACAAATTTACCTGGATTTTTGAAAAGGTCCTGTTCACACATGATCTCTAAAAGGCAATTTACCAGCAATTTACCAGTGAAGACTGTATGTGTGAAAGGGGCTAAACTCTTCCTCTGCATATGCTGTGAATTTGAATTGCTTAACGTTCGTCTGGGAAAACTACGATGGCATTTTAGAGCCACGTTAAAAAAAATTTTTTAAATCTAAGATTATGAGATTAAAGTCATAATATTTCAAGATTAAAGTAGAAATTACGAGAATAAAGTCAAAATGTTTTGAGAATAAAGTCGAAATATTACGAGAATAAAGTAAAAGTGTTTCGAGAATAAAGATTAAAGTTATAATATTTTGAGAGTGTATTCTAGCCTTTTGCACATGCAAATGGCCCGGATTGTGAGCACCGGAAGATATTCCAAAATCTCAG